TTTTGACCAGTTTCAGAATTTGACCAGTCTGACATTTGACCAGTTTGACCAGTTTGACCAGTTTGAGCAGTTTGACCAGTTTGACCCGATTCGGGTTTCGGGTCTGACGCCTTGAGTTTTTACGCTACCGTCCATCTGAATAGCGCAAACGACGTGTGCGGATCCCGTGCATCCGAATCCGTGCCTACCTTTTCAATTCGACCGATTTTTTGGAAAGTGCTCAGAATAACGTCACAAGGTTCTCGCTGCGCTCGGTCGCTGCGCTCTGAGCTCGCTCCGCTCGCTCTATTTCCGTTTGATACCCTCCTGGTACCTACGTGTCATTTATAGCCACCCTTGTAGATCCCTCTCCCCTCTCCCTATTCTGCCTGATGAAAAAGAGGGTTGAACCTATCGTTGGCGTTAAGTGGGGAACAATATAGGCCTACGGCCCCCCGAACCCATTTTCCACGTATCGTAATTGACGTGAAACCTCGTGAACCACCCCCAGGCATAAGTTGACCCGGACCAGTTTAAAGGGAGAAGGCAGGTTCTGAAAATGGGGCAGTTATTATTAGGCCTACGGTACGGCTTGTAGGACCCAGGAGTCGGAGGGTTTTGGCTTAGGGTATGAAGTAACACCGGTAGGTCAAAAAGCTCCCCTTCTCACAAATCAACTAACGCTCCCGCACCCCTCACATCCCGGGTCCGCCGTCTCCGGGAATTGAACCCCGGACCTCGAGGACCCAAACCAGCGCCCTTACCTGCTCGGCCAAGTGACCATCCCAGAGCGGTTCATGCAGATAACAACCCCCCCGGGTATAATATAGGACCCCCACCACCACGACACACACACTCATTTGAATCTCAACTACGCTTACGAGATGGGGGTGACAAAATATCCAAAATCAATTTTACTACCCGTTTTATGACAGAAGGGTCAGAAAACCGCCCGTGCACTGCCAAATTTCACGAAAACGTCTCTTTTGGAAAAATCTGGGGCCGCAACTTCCCTATTTTTGTGGCGAGATTGAGGTGATTCGCGTCGTTAAGTCGTCGTTAATCACGCCTACGTCCATTAAAATTCAATGTATTCATATTTTATTTCGGGTAAGATA